TTTTCTGGATTTAATTTCAATAACCAGGTATCACACCAATTACTCATGCTATGAAGATCTGCTTGAAGATGAACTGTGTCTGTGTCCTTCGTAATTGTCCTAAATATTTTAGTGTCATCCACAAAAAGGTATAAATCAGAATGTATCACACTTGGTAAATCATTTATATATAGGACAAAGAGAACGGGCCCCAGTACTGAGCCTTGTGGGACTCTTGATGTCGCAGGTTTCCAACCTGACATAACTCCATGCACCCCCACATGCTGTTTTCTATTGTGCAAAAAGTCCAATATATTGGATTGTCTGTCCCAGAAGAGGGATCGTGCCTCAGTTCTTCTTCTGGTTTCTGAGCTTTCTTCCATTTGTTTCCTCATTAAAACGCTGTTAAACCCTCTGAGGCAAATTGTGATCTGTGATATTGGGCTTTATAAATAAAATTTAATTGAAAATTTAATATAGAACCAAAAAAAAAATCACTGTAACAGTTTCACAAGCCTCCATGTTGCTTTCTAATGTTCACTAAGCTGTTAGCACTTTTTTGGTATCTTAAAAAACCCACATATAGGCACCAGTGTTGGTGGAAAAGAGGTTTAATATGAAACAACAACCAATATAACAAGCAAACTATGGAGAAGCACATTCCTCTACGCAGGAGGGAAGTACTGGAATAAAGTCCCAAATTAAATTAAATCTGTTCCTTCCCTGAACAGATTTTAAAAAATGGCTGAAAAAATGCATGCTGAGGAAGTTAGTGTGATAAAACATCCTTTCCACAGCAGCACTAAATAGAGATGCACAATAATGTTGGCACGTCATCAGAGTCGGCCGATATCTTTATAATGAAGGTGGGGTAAAAAGTAGATATATTGATATCAGTATTGATCAAATAAGATTTTATATATCGGCATATCAGATATCAGCAAAAAATTCAATATCATGCATCCCTCGTTCTTAGTCGTTGGTCACCTTTCTGAAGTTGAGTATCTTTATCGTTTTTTATGACTGTATGTTCTTGAGGTTTTTAATGTGTAGGTGTTCTCGTGTAAAAAGTGAGATGACATTAGCATGTACATGTCGTTCCCTGATCCCGCCTCCCAAGTCTAGACTGCAGAATTTCAATAGAAATAAGTCACGTGACCTTATTAATATATCCTGATGACTTTTAGTAATGAATCAAATCAAATCTATCCATTGAATCAGTCCTGAGAAGCAGTGGATGAACATTAAAGCTCAGATTTTCATTTCCTCAGACATTTTGCCTCTGGAACACAGTGTGGATGTTTTGTGAATGTTAATGAAAGTGCACAGGATGAAAACAGTCTTTTTACTGTCTTTACAGTGCGTGCAGGTAAACACCCCCCCCCCCCCCCCCCTTGCCTGTGTTGTGTAATGAATGAGGAGTGTCAGGACAAAGTAAAAAAGAAAATGAAGTGCTTTGTTTGGGCTCTGCACAGAATTTGTACTCAGAGTTACAAAAGGCCTTTCAGTCAGACTGCGGGGGCTGCGAGGCCTGTAAGGATGACACACCGACGGCCCATTACGTGCAAACAAAAAGATGCACTCAGATGCTAATGATGTGTTCAGTAAGTAGAATACAAGAGCGTTCAGCTCTGCAGTCAGCTCCATAAAATCCTTGTTTTTATGTAAAACACATTACAGTGTGAAGAGCAGGAGTGTGACACAGCCCCGTCTGTGAGAATCACTGATCGACTCCGACCACATTCACACACAGTCACTACACACACGCTCAGGAACATTACAACATAAAAGATGCTCTGTGTTTATTAAACATGTTATTGATGAGAGAGAGAACAAACTGCACAGGTGAAAGAATGTGAGAGATAACCAGTGAATTAGTTTTAATAAGCAGCATTTCTTATTCTTACTGAAACCAACACAACCTGTAAAACGTGTCTCCCTCCTCAACATGTTCGCTTTCCACGTCCACATATGACGTCCAAGGTACCCTGGGTGTGTTGGTTGTTGACGTTCTGGGACGCCGTGTCAACTTCAGCCTGTTAAATGCATTGTCTGTTTTCAAAATACACTTCTGTTTTCACAGGAAATGTACAGTTTGATACAGTCTCTTTCAAAATAAAAGCACTACGCTGGTACAACACCACCAACTGATGTTTTTTTCCTTCAACAACACACACGTGGTTACGTTTAGAAAAAAACAACAGGGTTTGGCTTTTCATCCAAAAGGTAAGTGATCACAGTTGTCCTGGGTCAAAGTTGCTGGTTGTTGGACCCATCCAACACTCCTCCTGTCTGCCCTACTGGGACTTTCGTGCCCTTGGCTTTCATGGTTGTCCCGCTGTGTGACCCCTGACACCGTCAGGCGCTGTTAAACAATAGCAGGGACCAGCCATATATCATGCCAACGTGAAAAGATGTCTTTTTACGTTGGTGTCTGACACTGGAAGTCACTGACCAAGCACCAGATGTCTGTGACTAAAGAATGAGACTAGGTTGCCCTCTTCCTGTGGATATCACAGCATACAGTCCCCCCAGGGTTTTGTGAGATGTGTTTGGGTTTGTTGCAGCCTGAAATGTTTCATTTCACTGCAGCTTTTTATATAAAAAAGTGATGCACATTGCTCTTTTTTGCAGTGAAACTACAGGAGCAAGTGGAAACGGCTAAAATAGTTGTTTCTTTTGCTATAATTCATCAAAAATCAAAGGCAGCTTGTTTCAGAGGCAACAAAACTGCTCTGTTGTGAGTTTGTGAGTTAAACTACACTAACGTTACTGCAAAGCTGCAAATTTAATCCAACGGCCAAAACACATGACACAAACGTGATGCAACACATCTGCTGCAGATGTGATCGTGACAATTTGTAGGAGCTCAAGTCAAGAGCCCAGACGTCATTAATGTGTTGCACGTGGCCGATCACATGCACACACTACTTTTCACTGCTTTGCGGTTCAGGGTGTTATGACAGAAAACAACCTGCCCCAGAAATTACAGTCACTAAAATCACTGTAATCTTCTCTATTATTGTTTGTGATTGAGTGACTGGAGACACATCACTCACGCCAGGTTTGTTACAGTCAAAGAAAAATCACTGTGTATTGTGTTGCTGGCTGTAATTACCCCAACACAAGAGGCAGGGCAACATTTAGCAGCAGATGTCTGTGAACAACTGATTTCACCATTTACACTACATTTATTAGAGAAGACAACAACAACAATATTTCATTGATGGTAAACATGTAAACTCCTCAGTCCTCCAGAGAGAAAGTCCCCAGACTAATAAGTTATTTCTTCTGTTGTGTAAAATATATTTTGGGCGGGCACGTTGCTGTACTGGTGTTTAACCTGCTCTGTTTCTAGATAAATAATTTGACTTGTTAACAGCATCAAGGAGGGATCACATACTAACCAAGTGCAGAGTGTGGACCGTGCAGAGATCAGCCTGGGCCCTGCAGGGTCCACCACTGTACTGTCACACCAGATATTAGGCCGGTACATTACCATTAATCTTCAGGGACAAAGGAAAGATAACAGTCTCTGCATCACAGAGCGAGATCAGGAAGCATAGGCTAATGTTTGCACAGATGAATATTTCATGCAAGTCAAAATAGACGGAGCCACGTCTGCCAAGAAGTAGCCAGATCCCAGCAGACACTGTAAAATCTAAATGTCCTTGTCGATCCTAATGTTCATTAAAGATGCAATATCTCAGGAAACTTTTGTTTAACTAGATGTAGATTCATTAAAGTCAAATCTACTTAATAAACAACTGTAATCCATGAATTACATAGAGCCACATTGGACCAAGAATTAGCCAGATCCCAGCAGATACTGTTAATTAAAAAAAAGTTCCTGTTCATTCCATTCATTAACGACTAAAACTTAATAAGCCTACAATTCTATAGCTTAACAAGATGGAGGTTCATTAAAACCGAATCGCCATAGTAAACACTGTAATCCATGAATTAGACAGAGCCGCACTTCTCCGGATTTAGTCTGATCCCAAGGGTAATTTAGACAGAGCTCGTTACAGCTCAACATGTTTGCAGATGTCTATTAACACCCTGAAACTGGGTGAGCGGAGGAGGAGAGAGGAAACAGGAAAAGGAGTAATGAGAGGAAACAAAGACAGGAAAGATTGACAGCAAGGAGAGGAGGCATGGAGGGATGAGTGGAACGGAGGATGTGGAAAGAAGGTTGGGAATAAAAAGAAGGAAGAGATGAGAGGAAGCAGAGGAAAGGAAATGACAAGATGAAAGAGGAAGAGGAAACAAAGGAAGGAAAAGGACAGACACAATATGGAAAACGATGAGGACAGGAAATACGAAGAGGAAGGAATTAGGGGGATGAAGCTCAGATGAAGAGTGGAAACAATAAAAGAAAACAAGATTACAATAAACAGAGATTAACCACACTGATTACACAACTAAGCATTTGTGTACTGAACCAACTGTTCCACTAAACGACTGTTTGTTGACCAACTTTGTTTTGCCAAACTTAATTATTAAACTGCAGTCTGGTGAAAGCTGAGCTGGAGGAAAACCAAAGCAAACACCAGCTTCCAAGACTCAGGGTTAAGGCGTGTGTTTGTGATAAGATGAGCCGGAAGAAGAAAACCAAAACAAACTCTGGATTAGAGAAATCACTGCAGAGAATTAATCACATTGTGGGGACAATTACCTGTTCGTACACCTACACTGTGGGGACTCACCTCCATATGGGGACAAGCAACTGGTAGGTGAGTTGCAAACATTGTGGGGACACTGTCACAATATGGGAAGAAGCCTCTGGTGGGTGAGCCACTTGCATTGTGTGGACTCACCTGCAATATGGGGACAAAAATCTGGTCAGTTTGCCGCCAACATTGTGGGGACTCACTTACCGTTTGGGGACAAGCATCTGGCTCTCTTATATTTAGTGTGCTGAGACATGTGGTGGTTAACGTTTATGTCCAGTGTCCAGTGAATGAATATCAATAAAATGTCCCTGTAAGTAACAAAGACAAACTTTTGTGTGTTTCCAGGAGAAGCAGCGCTTCCTGACTGATGTCCTCCACGAGGTGATGCTATTGGATGGCCTAAGTTCCTCCCACCCGATCTCACAGGAAGTGGAGCAGGCAACCGACATCGACCGAGTCTTTGACTGGATCGCCTACAAAAAGGTGAGTCACCATAAAATCCATAGGCCGTCTTTAATTCACTAATCTGAATAAAATATGATGATATAAAAGCTTGGGGACGAGCTGGCATGCTAACATGCTAACTAGCCAGTAGCATTCTTAACATGATGGCCTGCTTGTGAATGTGTGTTTTCTGGGATGGCAAAGGCATAACCTGACCTACTCTCCCTCTGATTGGCTATCACTTGTTGCCTTTGTTGGTTGGGTTTAGGCGGGTCATACCTTCGCCAACCAAGGAATCACAAATTTGCAGCCTACTGAGCTAGCTTTGTGGCTAACTAGAAAACAAAACCGAATATGTTAAAATTTTAAACATGGACTCATGACTCAGGATTGACTTCAGATTATTCTGCATCTTTTCTATGGAGCCGTTTAAACTCAAGCAGAGCGGGACTATATAAAACTGACAGGTGCGACATGGCTAACAGGATAACTTCCTCCATTCTGGACTCTCGGCGCGTTAGTTCACCAAAGTTTAAGTGGACTCAGAAGCTCAGTGCTGATCTACTAATCAACCAATCACAGCGATTCTAATGAAATGAATTGATTTGTGTAACATAAAGAATGAAGATAATGTTTCTACTGGTTCTTGTGTTTGAAAGTGTGTTCCTCTGTGCCGTCTGCAGGGGGCGGCGTTGATCCGGATGCTGGCGAACGTGATGGGACAGACGCTGTTCCAGAAAGGACTCAATGTAAGTTGATGTCGTCCTGAAGCTCCAGCTGTGTATACAGAGGTTCATATATCTGAGGACAACAGGGACAGCTGGGGGTTGGCTCCGAACTGGTGTGTCACCTGGACACAAACTGTGTGTGTGTGTGTGTGTGTTCAGCCATATTTTGGCTAAACGCTGACAGTTTGGAGCAGACTGAGTATACAGATGGGTGGTGAATAAGTGGATTTGGCTGCAGGGGCAGTTCAGAGGAAGTTTTGCTGTAAAACAATATCACAATCCACCATGACTGACCTGAGTTCAACCTGAGCACACTCACTTTTTTAAGTTCACAGAGATGAAGCTTTGGTCAGGCCCAAAAATGAGGCCTGACCCTGCATGACCCCACACATTCAGTCAGAGCCTGACCTGAGCCTGAACTATGGAAAATGTCAAAAGAGCTCCAGCAACACTTGTGGTATGAAAAACAGCTTTATTGACCAACATGTTTCGACTTGTGGTCTTCATCAAGAAACATATTGCACACATCATTTTTCATTTGAAATTGAAAGAGTAGAAAAAAAATGCATGTGACCAATCCTATGCATCAACATATATATTTCAGCCACTGAATCACTAGTAAAGGTGAGTGTGTTGGAAGCACATGAGAAGCAAGGGGAGTGTCTAGCAGAAAACACCTTTTGTGGTCGTGAGCTAGAGAGCAGTAACATGAGGGGATTTAAAGTGCTACACACAGAAAAAATGAACAAAAATTACAAAAAAGTCAAAAAATATTAAAAAATAAAAAGGGACCAGCAAAGACAGCAAATAATAAACATAATAAAACATTAAAAGGTAAAAAGATAGTATCAAACTAAACATTGTAAAGAATACATTTTATAAACACACAGAAGACCCACTAATTGAAAAATCCTCATGCATACCCTGTGGGGAGAGACTCTGCAGATAAAAAATCCAAAATGCTTCTTTCCTGTTTCTCATGAAGTTAACATTACCCCCTCTTTGACTTGGTTTAATAACTTCAATGCCTCAGAAAAGAGAGGGTGATTCATTTCATTAAAGTGTCTCTCCACAGGACTGGTGAAGTCCTTTCTTTTAAAGGCACTCCTATGTTCTGTAATCCGCTCTTTAAGGGGTCGGGATGTTTCACCTAAGTATGTTTTTTCACATGGAAATTTTATTACGTACACCACATTTTTTGATTTACATGTTATCAGGTCCTTAATGTTGATCATTTTATCAGTGACATTAAACTGTTTAATATTTGTGGTGACTTGACAGTTTATACAGGTACCACACTTAAAATTGCCTTGGAGATGATTTATTACAAGTTTGCTGTTTGTGACTTTAGGCTGTTGGTGTGCTTTGACTATTCTGTCCTTTATGTTTCTTCCTCTTTTAAAAGTGACCATAGGTGGATCAGTAAAGGTGCTTTTGAAAGATGAGTCATTTTGGAGGATGTGCCAAAGTTTTAGAATTACACTTTTAATATTTTTGGTTTTGGGTGTGAATGTAGTGCAGAATCCAAGGTTCAGCTTAGGTTTTAAAGATTTCTTTATTTGTATATATGCATCTCTGCTTCTTGAGTATGCCTTTGTTTCTGCATTTACAAGCCAATCTTCAGGGTAATTCCTTTCTCTTAACTTTGTTAGCATTTCATCTTTACTTGTGTTATACTGTTCTGAGACAGCACAGATTCTTTTTAGTCTGATGAGTTGACTAAACCGTAGACTGTTTTTGAGAGGAATTGGGTGAAAACTTGCAGCATGAAGAAGTGTGTTTCGACCTGTAGGTTTTGGGTAGAGAGAGGAAGAGGGGAGATTACCTTTTTTTGTCAAATTGATATCAAGGAAATTGATTTCTTAAAGGCTATAATTAAGGGTGAATTTTAGACCTGCAAAACTGTCATTTAAAAACTGTGAAAACTCTAGGAGGCTGGGTATAGATCCTTTCCAAAGTAAAAACACATCACCAGTGTATCTCTTCCACGACATGATGAAAGGAAGAAAAGGGTTCTTGTGTAGTTCGTACAATTTTTTAACCATGGCAGCAGTTTTGGGCGACAGTGTGATTGAAACCTCCAATTTCTACTGAAAAAAATAAATAATATAATATTTTATATATTATATATATATTTTTTTAATATTAAAACATTTATTAAGCTACAAGCTAAGAGTCGATGTGACGAATTTATGAACGGTCCAGTTTGTGTGTTTCTGAACGCACCACTCGCATCATCAACATCTATGGAGACGACATCATACTGTTTACTCACAGTAAAACGGTCTATACACTATTTTTAGCGGGTTTATACATGTTTAAAAACCCACATACATGTGCTAGTCTTGGAGGAAAAGGGGTGCAAGTCGCCCTCTCATGCAAACGCTCTATTTCCCCAGTTCTCCAATATATTGCTGCAATGTTCTGTCACAGTCCCTTAACCCTTACAGACGGTTTTAAATTCCATCCGGCCTGTAAAGGGATAATTAACTAATTTTATTTTTTTTAATTTAACAGTCATGGTAGGAGAGAAGTTAAATAACATAACCAAAAAAGAAAAATCTTAAAATATAAAACCATTAAAAAGTTATACCTTTATTCATCATGAGGACACAATGAGTCCTTAACTGGGTGAGAGCTATATTTTGTTTTCAATCTAACACTTCAAAAAAAGTAAAAATGCATACAAACTGATATTCCCCATAAACACTGCCTGAGCTCAGACAGTTGTAATCATTTAAAAAAATCCCTAAAAAACTAGAGAATATTTCATTTTTGGGATGTTTTTTGTATAAAAATGAGTGGTACATGACAGAAACTGGCCTGTAAAGGGTTAATTAACTAATTATATTGTTTGAATTATAACAGTCATGGTGGGAGAGAAGTTTAATAACATAACCAAAAAAATAGTAATCTTAAAAGATAAAACCATTAAAAAGTTATGACTTCAACCATCACAAGGACTCAATGAGTCCTTACTGGGTGAGAGCTATAAATTTAATTACACATTGAAAAAAAATGTTTAATTTCAACATTAACAGATAAAGGCAAAACTTCCCCAAAGCATTTTGCTAAAGCATGATTGCAGCCAAAATGCTGCTCAGTAGAGGAACAGGCGAGGACTCACTGAGTCCTTGCTGGGTGTAAGGGTTAAACTCCTGCCATCCACACACAAGAACTGCAGTTTAATGTAAAAATATGTTCTATAGATACTGCAATATATATTTATCCCCTTAGGGCAGGATAAGCATGTGGTGAGGATCTGATATGGTGCCAGCCCTAATATGTACATTACTCTGCTCTCTCAGTGCTCCTCTGCGTAGATGTTAAACTGTATTACACTGTCTCCACACTCTGTGCTCTCTAAACTCGCTTTCATAAAGCGGCCAAATTCCCCCTCATAAAGCTCAACGGCTCCCACAGGCAGAGGGTTTCAGAGGTTGGGGGATGTTTCCAGTTTGACAGCAGAACATGAAAAAATAAAATTTCAGTTTAATGAGGTACCATAAGTTCCCTGGAATTATGTTTTCAGCTCCATCGCAGTTTACTTAGGGACAAGTTCAAAGTAGAATTCAATAAATTGATCCGCGGTGCAGAGCGTCAGCGCTGGCTGTTGTACAAAGTGATGAAACATGAATCAGAGAGAAAGCAAGAGGTAATTTGAGGGGACACTTTCTTTTCCCTTCAGCTTTATATTGATAGTAATAAATGTCTGTCCTGGACTGGAATCAGTGAGAGACACAGCAGAGCAGATACAAACAACATGTGTGCTGTTAATGACACAGCAGACTGCATTATTTATGGCTCAGCTGTGCGTAGCTGCTAACTGGCTCTCTGATGGTTCGCACTGGTTAATGTTAATATCTCCCAAACACCAGGAAACTCCCAATGAACTCTGAGTTTATTTTAGAGAGATGAAGGTCTTTTATCCACAAAACTGGAGGAAATCAGTCGACAGTTAATGTAAAAATGATGTCATATGATGTAAGGTGAAAGTGGGTTAAATATAGTTTCTGTTCCCCGCACACACACACACACACACACACACACACAAACGTATACTCACACACACGCACACACACACAAGCGTATACTCACACATACACACAATGTCCTGATTTTCCTGCAGAAACTGTCAGTGACCTGGAACACACTGAGAACTAGATTCTATATAAAACACTGCTGATCCAGCACTGTGTGTGTGTGTGTGTGTGTGTGTGTGTGTGTGTGTGTGTGTGTGTGTGTCACAGGTCTGTATACAATGTACTGAGCATTACACCACACTACCTAATAAGAGCATCAGTCCTCAGCTGCATCAAAATGTTTCTTTGGTCTCAGAATAAATTCACCAAACCAGCTGCAACGAAACATTCAAATAATATTAATATAACAACTCAGCCAAAACATACAGTGACCCCGTAGAGCTGAGCTACAACATTTAAGTGTGTACCAACAGTTTTTCATTGTTACTTGAGAATGATAGAAATGTGAAGTGTTCGTATCGTACAAAAAGTAAAGTCACTTTTCTCACAATCTGTTGAGAAAATGTAGTTTAGGTTACGTTAGTTACAGAAGTTGATGACTGTCAGAATATCAGTGTCTGCAAGTTTCAGAAAAGTTTTAAGATGGCTGTAGTTCTGTTAGCTGTTGGCTTTGTTAGCTCTATTAGCTCTGTTAGCTGTTAGCTCTGTTAGCTTTGTGGGCTTTTGGGTCTATGCTCTGTTAGCTGTTAGCTCTGCTAGCTTTGTGGTCTTTTAGCTCTATTTGCTCTGTTAGCTGTTAGCTCTATTAGCTTTGTGGGCTTTTGGCTTTATTTGCTCTGTTAGCTGTTAGCTCTGTTAGCTTTGTGGGCTTTTGGCTTTATGTACTCTGTTAGCTGTTAGCTCTGTTAGCTTTGTGGGCTTTTAGCTCTATTTGCTCTGTTAGCTGTTAGCTCTGTTAGCTTTGTGTGCTTTTGGCTTTATTTGCTCCGTTAGCCGTTAGCTCTGTTAGCTTTGTGGGCTTTTAGCTCTATTTGCTCTGTTAGCTGTTAGCGCTATTATTTTTGTGGGCTTTTAGCTCTATTTCCTCTGTTAGCTGTTAGCTCTGTTTTCTTTGTTAGCTCTATTAGCTTGGTTAGTTGTTAGCTTGTTTGGCTCTTGTCATTGGTTAAGAGATAGTTATACATACAAACAAAACCCCTTTCACCTCTGGGGGCATCCTGGGAAAGTTTTTTGTTCATTACCAGGATGATGTGATGCCGTTAGTCTCGAGGCGTGGCTAGCCGGCGACGAGTTACTGTGAACTGTTTTTGCATAATGTTAAACTAAAAGGAGCAAATGAATCAGGATGTTTGTGAGACTGTGACTTAACGTTGGCGAATGTAGACAGGTAATCTCATTCTCAACAGAGACTTCTTAAAACTCACCTGCAGGTAATGTTTGGTGGCCACAGAGTAAGTTTTTGTGGGCAGGTGTTGATGTGAATAATATTTAAAGCTGCAGCGTGACCTGAACAGTGAGTTGTTGCATCCAGCTGGCTGCAGACAAAGGCAGAGTCGGCCTGCTGAGGATCATGTTTGATGTGTTGATGGAGAGCAGAGGTCAAAGGTCATGTCATCCTCACAGGTGGTGAAACAGTCCTGATCAGCAGCCAGGACTCTTTCACCTCCCAGCTGTTTATCACTCATTTATTGTGATGAACTTTTATCCGTCTCACTCGTCTTTATCTCACACACACTCTTATCACGCAGCTTTGTGTGTATCACGCTGCTGCTAAACCCTGTGTGTGTTGGAGGTGTTTTATCTCAGGTCAGCTGCAGTGAAGGTGAGAGAGCCGCACACACACACACACACACACACACACACACACACACACAGCGTTGTTATCATGTGTGTCATCTCGGTCCAATAAAGAGCTTTTTCTTGCCTTATCGACCTCCATACACACCATGACACCTGACAGAGGAATCTCCTGTATCACAGAGGAGCAGATTACAGCTGTGTCTCTGCAGGTGTTCCGTCTTATCTTCTGCTACTTTACTCACATTTCTAGTTTTATGATAAACCCGACCGTCTACCAACATCCCTGAGCTGTTATTGCACCGATCCACTGCAGCCAGAACAAGATGTGTAGCTGCTGAACAGACAGACATGACACCAGACACAACTGACACTGATCAATAAGGGCCTGATAACGAAGCTGCTGCACCACTAAAGGCCTGTTTAGACTGTGCTGAGTCTAGGGCGTTGATACGGAGCCTATACCAGGCCCATGATGTACCTTTTTTTTCCCAGGATGGTGAGCAACTCTGTCCGACTCTGCCTCTGATTGGCTCATCCTGATATTCTTACCCTCACCAATCTCATTCCTCTTGCCTGATCCTAACCAACCAATGAAGGCAACATACTAGACAATCAGAGGGCAGCAGCGTTGAGAGACGTTATAGCAACCGATTGAAATGTCAAACTTTGAATGGGCATATCTCATGCCCCGTATGTGGTAGAGACATGAAACTTTGCACAGAGATGCCTCTCCTCATGAGGAACACATTTGCCTCAAGAACCCATAACTTCCGCTTATATAGATTTTCCGCCATTTTGAATTTTTTGAAAAACACTTCAAATGGATCTCTTCCTAGGAAGTTTGAGCGATCTGCATGAAAATGGGTGAACATAATCTAGGGACCAATATCTAAAGTTCCCTCTTGGCAAAAGTTGGAAAACTTACTAAAACTGAGCTTCTATAAGGCAATGAATATTGCGGAGGGCGTGGCTCATCACATAAAGGTGTATAACATCTCAAGGGTTTCACCCATCACCACGCAACTTTGTAGGCATATGACCACACATAATCTGAGGGGACCCCTCCATTATTGACCCCATCAAACAAAATGGGGGCGCTAGAGAGCTCATTTCTTATCTAGGCCTAACCGCCATATGGATTTTTACCAAACTTGGTAGATATGTAGAACAGGACGCCTCAAGGTGACTGGAGAAATTTAACTCTAATTGGCAACTGGGTGGCGCTATAACAACAGAAAAATGCTTCAAAATGGCTAAAATGCGACCGATCGCTGTGGCTCCCCCTGTGGACCAATGTTGGTGTTGTTTCTAATGTTTGGTATGACTAAGTCATGGTATGGTATGCTGCTGCAACAAGGGCTAGCTGCACCTTTCCCATGTGAACTACCAGTGCGCCCCACTTTTAAGTCAATACAACATGTAAACACTTTAACTATCTGCCTTTCAACGTGCTACCTCAACTACTAATGTACAGTTTTAGCCCACTAACTATCCCACTATTGCCAATGGTACTACTGTACTTTCAATAAAGCAATCGTACTATCAACTTCACAAACACTGTCTGGATACATTGCTCTTCTTAATGGGTTCAGTTGACTATTTAATCTGCCATTTTCTATGACCTGTATCCCAAACAAACACCATGTGAAACTGGACAGGGCAACTGTGCACTCAATGGGTATGGACTAGTTATGTAATTGATAATTAAAAGTCACTATTCAGATGAGGCTTTTGTTGTGTAACAACAATGTAAAGCAAATACAAAGCTACCAGATGATGTCATTTCCTGTTTAAGCTCTGACCTGTCCTCTCTTTTGTTTCCAGGATTACCTGCTGAGTCACATGTACAGCAACGCAGCCAGAGACGACCTGTGGAACAAACTGTCTCAGGTGTGTTTACCTCCCCTTGCTCAAAGGCTTCAGGGCAGTCACACCTCTCAGTGCAGTGTTAGCACCTGTATCCACAACAGGCAGCACATTCAGAGGGTGGGGGGGGGGGGACTGAGGGGGCCCCTGCCCCTCTGATGGTCTGAGCCGGCCCTGACAGCCAGTGGTTAAAACCTCTAACTGCTCCACATCCATCTCTTCGGGGGTTTGAAGCAGCCACACTGACAGAAGCTGTTTATTATTAAACATAGCTGTTCTAATGAAGGCCGGAGAGACACTCGTTAAGGCCGACTTGATGAGACGGAGGCGAGGGGAAAAAGTCCTGTTGCCATGGTAACGTGACTGACAGGTGGAGCCGAAGCTTGTTTTTCTTGTTTGTCCTACACACAGGAAGCGTCTGGAAAAGAGTCTGTTTGATCAGATGTGTCTTCGTTAGTGACGCTCGTCACAGTGAGACGGCTCGTTAACGAGCTGCCAGCCAATCACAGCTCCAATTACCTGCCAGTCAAGTGACTTTGAACTTTATATTCATTAAGCTTTTACCAGGTTATAGATGATGGACGATGACCCAATTAAAGGTAGACTTCATCCCTCAAATGACCATTTGTATATCAATTATTCACCTTGTGTTGTGTTGAATTTGTGAAGCATAGTTTGTTTTTCTCTGTACAGTGAACGAAGAATCCAAAAACTGAGAAAATTCTTGAAATACTGATCCTCCGACTCAATTAATAAGACTTAGACTACACTGCTAATGAGCTGGTGAGAGTTTGTTAACAGATGTTTTGATATAGTTTTGCAGTGGACCCCATGAGTTCAGTTCATCAAGATTTTTTTTTGTTTTTGGATTCTTCGCTCACCATAGAAGTGTGACAGGAAACAACATTTTTTTTAACAAATTCAACATAACACACGAGGAGTAATTAAAATACAAATGATAATTTGGGGTCTGAAGTATTCCTTGAATGATTTACATAAACATTGAATATTATCTGTAATTATTCATCATTGATTGTTTATGTCTTTTTTTTTTTTTTTTTTTAAATCTAGGCCATGCGTTCAGAGGGGCGGGACATCAACATTGGACAGATGATGGACAGGTGGACTCTGCAGATGGGCTACCCTGTCGTAACCATCAGCAAGAACCAATCAGAGCAGCTCCCCACTCATTACATCACTGTCAGCCAGGAGCACTTCCTGTACGGACAAGAAGTCAAGAGCAACAACAGGTCAGTGTTTTGAATCTGTTTTACACTGTAAATGGTAATGAGAACAAGTTATTATATTGTTATGACCTTTAACCTTTGAAATGTGAAGGAAAAAATCCATGAATCTTAAATCTGTCATTAATTTTGTGTGTTTATGAAATGGTAAAATCCAAAACATTTGTTGCTCACAGTGTCTCAGATATGGAGAATTCATATCATAAACTGTGATCCAAATGTGAACAAAATGGAGCCCAACAAATTTCAAACTACAGAATCACGAGCTTTCGTCAAACTGATGCAGACAAGACTACATTAGAGTTGTTGTTTTAATCCTGGCTTATCCTGATTTTTTACAGCAAGTCTCTTCACCTTAGACTCAGTTTAGACTAGGGCTGCCACGATTAGTCGACTAATCGATGACTAATCGACTATTAAAATAATCGGTGTCTATTTTAGTAGTCGACTAATCAGTTTAAGTCATTTTGAGTCAAAAGTACTATAAAAGTACACCAAAATACTCTTATTGCAGCTTCTTACGTTCAGATATTGGCAGCTTTACACACTCTCCCGTGACAGTGAACTAAAACCCTTTGGCGTGAGTACGAAACAAAACATTAGATGACGTAATTTTGGACTTCGGGCGAGACAGGCCGACATTTCTCAACATTTTAACACATTTTTCGATGAAATGATTAGTCGACTAATCGAAGAAATAATCAACAGATTAGTCGACAATGAAAATAATAGTTAGTGGCAGCCCTAGTTTAGACTCAGTCCCAGTGCACACCTTGCCCCGACCGCTGTGCCCTTACCCCTTTGTTCTGTGCACTCACGTCTAGATGTAGGGTCGTGGTATCCACTACATTATAACATGTAAATGTAACGTATCTGTGATGTGCAGAAACATACAATGCCAATATTTACTCTGGTGACTGGGTTGTGAAATGACGAGGTATCGAACAGATCAGTGGTTCTCAACTAGGAGGTTCCCCAGAAATGGCTAATAGTTTATTATATAGTAGTGAGCCCCTCTGTGTTTAAATCGGCGTCGTACCTAAAGCGTAGGCTCTGGGTAGATGTGTGCCCTACACCGTAGCCTGATGTGCACCTTCCCGGAAATGTAACTACATGTCGTTCACAGACCTCCTGTCTGTCTCTGTAAGCTGAAACCATTTCCCTCAGTGGAAACAAAGCTTTGATTTACTTTAATTTCACAGATAAGAAACAATAAATCATGAAGACAATAAAGCCTCCACACACTGTGTGTGATTTATCCTGGCTGAAATATGAGCAGAGGAAATCTCTGCTAGCTGCTAGGCTAATTTATACAATGTAAAATGCCATAGGCTTGTGCTAATAACGTTAGCATGTTGTATTTGTGGGGAAAATGTGTCCAGATAAAGACAAGTGTTTGTCTGTGAATGCTGCGAGTTATAGTGAAGCTGATTTGTGTTTGAAACTGTCTCTATTAAGCCATGTTTAATGTGTGTTTAATGTGTGTTTAATGTGTGTTTAATGTGTGTTTAATGTGTGTTTAATGTGTGTTTAATGTGTGTTTAATGTGTGTTTAATGTGTGTTTAATGTGTGTTTAATGTGTGTTTAATGTGTGTTTAATGTGTGTTTAATGTGTGTTTAATGTGTGTTTAATGTGTGTTTAATGTGTGTTTAATGTGTGTTTAATGTGTGTTTAATGTGTGTTTAATGTGTGTTTAATGTGTGTTTAATGTGTGTTTAATGTGTGTTTAATGTGTGTTTAATGTGTGTTTAATGTGTGTTTAATGTGTGTTTAATGTGTGTTTATTGTGTGTTTAGCGTGTTTTAATGTGTGTTTACTGTGTGTTTAATGTGTGTTTACTGTGTGTTTAATGTGTGTTTATTGTGTGTTTGTTTAATGTGTGTTTACTGTGTGTTTAATGTGTGTTTATTGTGTGTTTGTTTAATGTGCGTTTACTGTGTGTTTAGCGTGTGTTTAATGTGTGTTTCAAATCAGTCAATCTTTACAGCACTCCACCACCCACTAGTGTTTTGGAGGTGTAACTGCAGAGTGACACAGACACACCACCGCACAAGTATAAATGCTCACAACAGCGTAGGCTACAGTGTAGTAGAGCCAACACAAACATATAAATCCACCTTAAGAGTCATCAAAGTGACAGATCTGATCACATGTTTCACTTCCTCTGCAGTTATCGCCTCAACTGTAGCTGACAACTATTGAATTCTGGTCTTGATCATATTTAACACCCAGAATCTTTTCAGATTGAGGTCCCAGAAGGGAAGTTTTATCACGTGGTATCAGTGACCTCATGTGTATCAGTCGAGGGGTCCTTGACATAAAAAAGCTTGAGAATCACGGCTATAGATCGCTCTGTTTTTCGACTTTATGAATCAGCCATTTTCTCGTCCATTGCAATGCTGTTAAAGCGATCAAGATGAATAAACAGAAACAGGTTGTCCGACGAGAGTTCAGCTCAGGGCCAGTTCAGACATTCTGATAGAAAACAATAAAGTCAAATTAATTTTGTTGCTGACACTTGCGTCACATTCATTTCGGACACGGTGTCAGGCTCTGACAATAACTGTTGTGGTCTCTGATGAACTCTGGCCGACCGTCAGACTGCTGCAGCCCTCATCTGTTCCTCGTATGGTGAAGTCAATCACCCTGAAAGGATCCTCCTGAAACTCTTTGTTTCACACCTCAGTAAGTTAGTCCTGCGTTTTCTCCTGAAGAAGCACTTTTCTAGTTTTTCTTCATATTCTTTACCACCTTTACATCATTCATATTTCATTTATATTTGATTCACACAATGTTTTATTCACATCCTTCACAACCTCTGGAGTTTATTCTCTTCGCTGTTTTATCGACCCACTTTCTCCTCCATCAATTCTTCATCAGCTCCTTTTCTCCTCTTTTCATTTTACCTGTTGTTCCCTTCTCTTCTTTTCTCCTTCTTCTCTTTCTGTCGTGTTTTTGAACTGCAGCTGACATTTACAATCAGTCTGACCCGCTCAATTTCTCACCACAACTTTCTTTACCTCTTCCACTTCATGGCTCCCTCCTCTTCTGTTCTCTTACTTCCTCCTTTCATCTGCAGTCTTTTGTGTTTCACTTGAGCTCCTCTGCTCACAGTCGCTCCCGAGGTCTCGTCAGCTGATGAACTGGAGCTGTTTGTTGTAGGCGGAGCTGAACTCTTTCTTTCGCGCTAGTTGAGTCTCGCGGGGCCGCGTTGAGACACACTCGGTGGTCCCGGGGCGTTCACCGACGCTTGTAAAGAGAAACTGTTGTTGTGCTTTTAGCTGAAGTGTCAGTGGATCGAATCAGAGGCCGCCGCTGCTGTTTGATCCTGCAGAGCTGCATTCAGCAGCACAGCAGTGTCCCACAGTGTTACACGCTGTTGACTTTAACTCCTGATTTATTTATTTATGCGCTTTTTTATTTGCATGCAGGGAAAAAGAGAATTCTTAGAAATATACATGAAGAAAGTGGAATAAGACCGGACAGACGAGCAGCTCGCTCTGACTGGTGACAGCAAACAGCTGTCAAAGATCAGAATCAGGTGATAACGTGAAAAATGTATTGTTACAAAGGTTTCTTTTTTCTTACTTTAATAATGTGTTATCATGTTATAATGGTAAAAAAAATTATTTTATAAAGATGTTTTCATGTAATAACAAGAAAAGTTTTTTTATAACACAGTATTTCTCAGGTTTTTACAAGATATTTTCATGCA